CCACCCCCGCCCCCTAGGCTATAAATGTGGTTTTATTAAACAGGTTCGCAGATGACAAAGAAACTTGGGGCATTGACCGGCAATTTTTGTGGGGACCGTCGCTACTTATATCACCGGTTTTAGATGAGGTAAGAACTTGTGTGTAGTCATTTAAGGTGAAGTAGAGAATATAGAAAATGAAACATACAAAGATAAATTGAAGAATCATAACTAGTTTTCTAAGATAATATATAGTTGGTGCCCACACTTGTTTGGCCTGTTTTTGTTACAAGGGAAAATCTTGTGGCTTTTGATTCTTGGTTATCCTGATAACGTATCCCAATTACTTTTATTTTCATCATAACTTTAAGTGGGAAGCAACTTTTAATCAAAGTTGTCTCTTTTTCTGTTTCTTGGGACCAATGTTGTGAAATGACTTTACTTACGTTCTTTTGAAACGAATGATTAGTTTTTTATAGCGCAATTAATTATGACTATATGCATATTAGATTCGTTCTCCATAGTCGAGTCCTTGAATATTATTATCAGGAACCCATCATCGGCTTCTGTTATAATCATTTCTTCCTTTATTACTATTTGATCGCATTGCCAGTTTATTTGTCGTCATTTGACTTTTGTGATGACTTCCGGCCAGGTTGTCGAGAGGTCAGTCCCCACTAGCGTTAGGAGTCCTTCTCAGGACTGTATTCAGCCGAACGATAAGACTGACAAAATCAAATTCATTCAATATTGTCGAATATCATAAATTTTTTAGGGTAAGACCACTGTTGATGCATATTTTCCTGACGATCGATGGTATGACTATAACACAGTACGTATGTTCATTTTATTTTTGTTTTTTCTTCTTAACCTCTTCGTAGGAGGTCCCTTTTACAGAAGGCACCAAAATGATGTTGAAACATGACTGATGGGAGAAAAGACTACGAAGACATTATGGTGCCTTCCTAGGTTCTATTTTGAAAATGATTCCATAATTTTATTGTGTATAGACCAGTAAGCTTAAACAGACACCAAGTTCATTACCTAGAGCGTCAAACCGCGTTGATTATTTTTTGTGACAAGAGATTATTATAACAGATCCATATGTGCCGTGATCCGCTCTCTCCTTCTTCAACCCTAGCCCGTTCTCCCACGCGGTAATAGTTGTGTAATAAGGGTATGATTTCAGGGCAAGGAGATGAGCATCCGTAAAAGTCACGTGACTTTGGACGCCCCTATTGATCACGTTCCTCTTCATGTTCGAGGCGGCCACATCATTCCGACGCAGGAACCAGCCATCAACACGGCTTTAAGGTATTTCACTTCGAGTTCTGCTCTAACATCCATTCAAGCCTTACCCACCTTTAGCAAAGGGTACAAATGTCGATTGATGAAGCTAGGGCCTACAGTGATCTTGTGGCAAGTAAGATAAAGTGACTTTTTCCCTTCAAATTTTGGAAGGAAATTTTACCTGAATTATGGTAAAGTCAATTGCATTAATTAAAATTTCCCCGTTCCATCTTAGAATCCAACCAGAAGAGGAACACGTTCTCAAATGAAGAGCGCCTTTATCGTCTTCTCTGTATTAGAAGTTAGCAGTCAATCGATGCTTTACATTATACGCAGTGTTTTATAATATTACGTAAAAAGGTTTCCTGAACTTGGAGAATTTATTCTTCCGTGATCAAGTTATTTCAATATAATGGTGCGTGCTGAAGGTTTCCTTCAGCATTTTGATATACTGTTCCGTAAGAAGAAAGAACAACTACGAAAATCAATATACGTGTGATTAGTGCTCGAGTCCAGCCTTATTCCAGCCTTATTCCGCAGCAATGGCGCTTATTTTTGTTTTTGTTCCCGTAGTACAGTGAAACCTCGATTTAACGAACTTCTATACAACGAAGTCCCCGGCCAAAGTTACAATAACATGTATGCCACAGAACCTCGATATTTAGGAACTTAGGAGTTTAGTTTGTTCGCCGCGGGAATGGCAGGAGAAAGGAACAGTACTTTCGTCCCAATTGACACCTAACCCTTTGTACCCACCATCCCACCCCGGGGAGGACATCCACCACACAGTAATCTCGTGTGTAGGAATTTAACGTCTCCTACCCCTAACCCTGCAGGAGACGGGGCCTATGGTTTATTCGTCCTTATCCGAGAAGACTAGAACATCTATCCATTTCTTGATATATAGAAAGGTAGCAAATTCTCCTCAGTTATTTTAAGATCATGAGTATTGGTCCGGCCGGGGATCGAACCCTCGACCTCCCGCACAACACAATCCGGCGCTCTAACCAATTGAGCTAACCAATTGCGGTTATATAGCGAACCAATTTCCCCAGTCCCTTAGCACTTCGCTAAATCGAGGTTCCACTATAATATAGCTTCACTGTTTCAGTCGTCAGAATCCATTGGGCCTGATTGTAGCGTTCGGAGACGATGGAATTGCTTCAGGACAGCTCTTCTGGGACGATGGGGAATCCATTGGTCAGTAGATAACTGGGCTTGTATTCCCACTATATACCTAAGCTTTGAATTTTCAGGAAATCTTACCTGCTGATTAAGTGATTGGCAAAAGTTACAAACAACTTCTGCTTTTACACCCACTGATGTAGTTTAAAATACTCCATTTAGAGGTGACCAGTTTCATTGGTGTGACTCAGTTTTGGATGTAAGATTTACTGTACAACTTTCAGCATAGAAGAGCGTCGGATACCTCCATGATCGTTATAGAAAAATTTTTCGCTTAGGTGTCGAAAGTAATCCAGAATCGCATTGGTTTTGCTTTACTTGGCCCCAGTATCGCGCCTTCCTCTCAACCGATAGGGGCTTTGTCACTTGTGTCCGTTTTAGCACGCTTCAGGCAATTCACTTGTTTCTAACTTTGACTTTTATCGGCTCTTTTTTGGTATTTTACTTTGTTGTGACTGGCTGTTGTAATTACTTTGGTTGTTAGTTTACGAAACTTGGTCGAAAAGTGCTCTCTCTGATAAGACCATGAATTATCGTTTTACATGATCACTCTCTTTTGCCAGACACCGTGGAAAGTAATGAATACCTACTAATAAAGTTCTCCAGCCAAGAGGTAAGTGCATCGCTTATTTGGCTCCAGCTGAGGATAGTTTTTCCTCTGTTAAAAAACAAACCCTTTGTTTTCTTCTCAAACGAAGCGCCTATTTTGAAGGTGTTTTGTTTTTAGTTTTAAGAAAAAAAGCAGGTACGCCAGAGCAACACACTTTTACCCCTAAAGTTGAAAATATAATCTGGAGTACTTTTGCCCAAGCAAATTTGTAAAAATAATGACGGTAATGTTATTCTCTTTCGCCCTGTTAGTCTGGGATGAAATTCTCTGTTGAGAAGAATGGTTTTGTCGCACCGGACCTCCCTAAATGGGGCTCAGTGGATGTGTATGGACTCTCTGCAGGCATTCTTGTCTCACTCAGTGTCAACGGGGAGGACATGAAAGAGAAAGCAACCTACGACATTAATTATAAGGTACATGTACACCATCAGCTATATATGCCCCCACGGGACACACTCACTGGGTAGTCATAGGTTTTAGCCCCATAATACCTTTCAGAAAATAAAATCTGGCAAAGATTTTGCAGGAATAATTTAGGGTTGAATCAATAATACTATTTGGAGAGGGGGAATAAACTGCGTTATTGCCTGCAGGTCGAGATTGAGAATACACAGGTACTCTCTTGGATCTTTTAGAAGTATGCTCCTTCCTCGGCTACAAACCTCTGTTACACAGTTCTTGCTATAAGATCTGACAGAAAACATGGAGCAAATATTAATCCTCCTTGTTTTTCCATTGCATGGTAGGTCTTGAAAATCACGGGTCTGTCACTCGACGTAAATAAAGACCACACCATCGACTGGGAATTCGAGCCTAACCCTAAGGCAGCCGTAAGAAAAATTGAGCCCTATATCACCGCTGTAGTTGTTCTTCTGTTGGTTGTATTTATAAGCTGCAGTTATTGAACAGGGATTCATGAGGCTCTGAGCTGTTCCACTGTATAAACTGTGTAACCATTCAGGATTCGATCCCAAGTGCCTCTGGATGGTTCCTATCCTAAACAGAAACTGCCTGAGACAGCACGGGACTTTAGTTGCTTAGTTTACTGCGGAGTAATACATGTTCTACATTTACATTGTGTAAGGATCGGTCAGTTGGAAAAGCAAGCTGGCAAAAGTATGTCCGTGTTGTGTTTTAGTTCTGTCTATTTTATAACCGCATGGCACAAATGCAATGCTCAGTAAGAATCGCCCTTTTTTTTTTGTTTGACAACCAACGATACCTCTGCCCGCGCGTATTTCATTTTTGGTAATACCTCAATGATTCATCGGGGATTTGAGGACATCAGTGGGCGCTCAGTACTGTCAATTGCAGTTTTATTCCAGTCGGTCACATGTTGATTCAGCTAATAGAAACTCTCATTAAGAAAGGTGAATCCCACCCTCCTCCCCTCAAAAAATAACAACGTCTCTTATTGTTACTGACCGTCCGTCAGGGAAGGTTTTCAACCAAACTCCTTCACTGGATTCTAAAAAAAAGATTAAATGATAACCATGAATGGTTAACTCATTCGCTGCAGTTTCGCTGTATTGTATTGCAATTCCAACGAAAATTCCTAGTTTAGTTTTAAGTCGGTGCGTCTCCAATTCAAAGAAGATTAAAATTGATATCGACGTAGATGTCAAACAGAAAAAAGTGTGCTTCAACTATGTTAAGTACCTTTATTGTTTTAAATATCATGTTTCTAGATACAAATACTACGTATGCAATTTTTTTTAAAGAATTTTTACTCCCGCAACGAAATTTACGAACGAAATGACTTAAACAGGCAAAGTTCCACATAGTAAGCGACCTTAAAAGATTTCACAAAATTAACGCGGATAAAGGTTCCCTGCGAATTACAAAAATATTTTCCAAGTTATCTGCCGTAGAGAAGGCATGGCACTAATGGAGCAGCCGCTGCCCCGATAAAGGAACTTTCATGGGATTTAGACGGCTTCGCTTCACCACGTTGAGCTGCCAGCCTTTGGGCTTGCTCTGCTTCTAAATCATTCATTTTGTTATAAATGTCAATTCCCAAGTGAAACATGCACAGTAGGAAACAAATTCCTGCTGCAATGAGGAACATGGAGCGCGGGCTCGTGAAATCGATGATTACACCACTGATTCCTGAACCGAGAGCCATTCCCAGGCCCCAGTAGCTTCCATGAAGAATGCTTTGAACCATAGGCGTCGCCTCTGGGGAACAAAACGTAACAAAGGGGGTATGAGACTAAAAGTTCAGCACGGGGAAACATAACCTGATTTTATGATCTCTGTTTACATCTTGCTGTAAAAAAAAAAATTCCCACTTGATTAATATTATAGCTTTTATTTTCGGCGTACCGTCTTAAATGCTAAAGAGAAATACAATTAAGCTGTCAGACAAGGTAGTTCTTAATTCTCTCTTAAATTGTGCTGTTGCAGCCACTGCAAAGTCGCCAAAGTGGAGTTGACTTTATTCTGATTTAAGCCTTGTTCCTGATGCAAACTCCCATAATTCCTGTCTCTGTCGTTTTGCGCTGAACTAGTTAAATTTAACAGAAGTTTAGAATGGCAGATTGCTGACATGGTTTTCTAGCTTTCTGGAGATTTTCCAGTCAAACTGGCTACCTGTATAGAGATATTGAAAAACCTGAACTTACCCGGTGGTGCGTTCACATAAACAGCAGCAATGGACCACACTCCTCCATAGGTAATCCCTTGTGCCATTTCCATGGGAATCACTAGCCAGGGATCTTTTAGGTAGGAATACATGAGGTATCTAGCTGTGTAACATGCGAAAGCCAGGCAGATGATTCCCTGTTGACCAATAGCCTCACCCACGGACCCTGAGATAAAGTACATTACAACCTCAGCCAGGCAGTAAATGAGCAAGATGACACTGAACAAGGAAGGAGTTCCACCAAGATCTTGAAGATACCAGAACAAGAACGAATTCTGGAGGCTGTGGAAAAATCCAAACAAGAACAGCGTGACAAGGAACACGCCGTTTTTGAAGTTTTTAAACAGCTTTATAGCGTCCTTGATGTCATACTCGTTCGGATTCTCTTCAAGAGGTCTGTTAAACTCAACGCAGAGCGAGACCAAAATTGTAGCTCCAATGGCAATCTCAAAGAGGTGAAAACACGGGACATAATTGATGGTGTCTGTATGCACACAGTCGGTTTCCAGAGACACCCATACAGCGACAAGTATGGCAGCCAAGCTGAGTCCAAGAGAACCAAACAGTCTTTGTTTACCATACTCACTATCAGTTTCTACCAGAGATCTTACAATGGCATTGTCTGCCAGCATCGGTGTGGGTGTCGTTATAATTTCCGTAAGAATTACTATTAAAATGAGAGTACGAAAAACCCAGGTATTGTATTTGACGCGGAAATCTTCATTTGGTCTTGGGCTCCTTGTAATAGTGTTCCAGGTCTCGTAAGGTCGCAATTCATCGTCTTTGTGTTTCGTTACGAAGTTTCCCTGCGCTGAATCTGACACAAGTAAATGTTTTTCTCTTGGATTATCATTTTGTGGTTCCTTGATGACTTGGCTACTATCCTCAATCGATACGTCTTCGAGTGGATATAAATTAAAAGTACTTTTACTTCGAGGAACAAAGCTCGTCTTTTTTGATCTTACATCTGTATCATCATTTGCATAATGACCATTCAATTGTGACCGCGTTATATATTTTAGTTTCGAGGAGGCGTCTTTAAAGATCTTTTCCGATTTTATAGTATTGTCCAATAAATTCCCTTCTGTTTTCTTTATTTTGCTTAATTCCTGATAACTTTCTTGGTCCCATTTTTGTACAAATGCAGACAAATGTTTGTTCAAAGTAAGTTCCCTTGTTGTAATGTTGCTAGATTTGGCGGTCGAGTGTAGATTTGAAGCTGGGGTTGAAAATGCAATTTCTTGAGTAGCAGGAATTTCTGTAGCATAACCGTAACAAGGTGTGTTGGTCGGAAACACAAAGGACTGCCCATAATAGCCAATGATCCAACCGAAAATTGAGATGAAGTAGACGACTTTTGGCCTACTAAATCGATCCGTAACCATTTTCCACAACGGCAAGCACACAAGTTTGACGGCGGGTCTTAGGGCAAGTAAAAGGCCAATCTGCCCAGGAGTAAGCCATAGCTGTTTGTAGTATAGACTAAAAAACGGAAAAAGGGAACCCAATGCGGTGTAGAAGAAGAAATAGAAAGCCTTTGATACCACAAAGCTCTTATCTATTTTGCGAACTCTTTGAATAGCTCTTCGCCATGTTGAATGCTGTGAGTCTTCTAATTCATCGTCGTGGTTGTCGCTGTTCTCTGAAGGTGAGTCAGATACTATTGGCTGATATGACGTTGGAATCATCATTCGAAGAAACACACTTGCTCTTAACACGCTCACATTTTTGTAAACTGTTCGAGAAATCGAAAACAAACTCTACTCTCTTGTCACCGACGTTGGTAATCACATTAGCATGCAAGAATGAAACGTCTGTCTCCCTTTGTAACACAATATGTTAATATACGTCTCATATTTATTCATTCACGGGCAGTCAACCGCAGGCTAATCAGCTCGACTGGTGTCAACAAAGTGGCAACGAAGAAAGTAGAGTCAGTGTTTGAAGATGATGATGCTCGCAAAGAAAAGTAAACAAAGCATAACAAGGCATGATAAAGCCTGTACGAGAAATGCAGGTACTTGTTTGATTTTGAAGAGAGGCGTTCAAGTTGTTTTCGCGGCTTTAACATTTTAATGATTTTTAATAACAAGCCAGTCATTTTGCTAATTAGTTGCGCCAAAATCATAAAATCTTTTATCAACCGTAAGCTGAATTCTTTTATCGTTGTTCACTAGTATAACATATTACTATTTAAACCAAGTGAAATTTACTTTAATCTGACGATTTTTTTCAAACATTTCCCAACATTTTACAATTTTCAGGCATGCAAACGAAGGAAAATAATTTTTAGGAGCAGTATTTTTAGCTTCCAGTAATACAATTAAGAATTGATCCAGTTATTCTACCCCTGAGGCCTTCTATTGTTCCTGCTGCAGTGTTTCGTAAACGCTGTCCAACACCTGAAACATTTCAAACAGCGTAAATTTGCATTTTCTAGAAAAGGTTGTCTCCTGACATACATTCCTTTATATCACTGTTTATATTGATAGCCATACTTCTTCAGCGAATTTGGAAAATTTATTGTTATAATTGAGTAAATAATTCGATATTTACAGATGAATCACTGCTAACAAATGAGAAATAAATGAGTTAAGGAAATGAGTACTATCACCAAACACAATTTACAAGTTACCCTAACTTAACAAATAGTCTCCATATTGAGAATGTACAATAATAGATCATAGATGACGTCACAGTGGCAACACAGAAAACAACAGGGAGCTTAAGAACCCACGACGGCGACGGCAACGAGGACGTGGAAAAACAAGAGATCTCATTGGCAGAACGATAGCTCAGCACGTGCGTTTTGAAACTTTGTACATTTCTTAGCCGTCCTATGCAAAACAACAACGTGAAATCGCCAAAATTTACATCGTCTGCGAACCGAAACCGCGACGGCAATTTATTTTAATTTCCATTTGGAACTCAACGGCTACTTTATACGTCATGCTGAAGTTGAGCTGTGGCGCTGTATGAGACAGTAAGCTCCAGCAGCCATTTTTGAAATTCTAACTAAGATTAGAAATTCATTTTTTAATCGAAGTCTTCCTTGGCGTCGCCGTCGTGGTTTCTTAAGTCCCCTAAAAGAGACTTTAAGCAGTCAGGACGGCAACGCCACAGAAGACGTCGATTAAAAAATGAGTTTCTAC